CACCACCACCACCACCTAAAACAGAGCATTTGAAATTAAAATATTCTTAAATAGCATCAGTACAAAAACCAATTTAAGATAACTTATATCGACAAACACAAATCTCTTCTTGCGAAAACAGATAATTTTAAGGAAACGTCTGCATCTGTCCATAAATTTTGCGCTGCTAAAAGTTTGATATCACCCTCTTCACAAGTCGCTAGAAGTATAAAACAACGAACAACCTACCAAAACTACTTCGTCCTTCACGCCCTCCGCGGAAGCCACCTCTCCTGTCGCCTCGGGAGCCTCCTCTACCCCAATCACCACCGCGAGAATCCAGTCCTCTTCCTCTAAACCCGCCACGCCCTAAACAAGTATATGACCTGATGATATAACAAGTTACCATTTGAAAGTGACGTTGTATGACCCATATTTATAAAACAGTTCTGAAATAAATAGTGGTATAAAGTTCTTAAAACAACAGTTCCAAGAATTACAAAAAATAAAAAATAAAAAAATATAAATTGAAAAATGGTAACCGCCTCTTCCACTCTCTCCTCCACCCCGACCAAAGCCGCCTCTGCCGCCTATAAAGTAACATTTAGGCTTAGAACTTAAGTTAGGAAAAAATATCAAATTTCTAGAGAAGCAAAGTCCAAGTTTATAATTGGTATGACAATAATGCTAGATTTACAAATGACTTCTGTCGCTTTTTCGAAAAATTTGGAAGTATCCAAATCGCAAAAAAATCTCAGAAGTCATTACTAAATGACAAGTAGTTTGCTAAAGCAATCTAAAATTTTAAAAAAAGCAATAAAAAGCTAGCACCCAAAAGGCAAAAAAGCAACTGCACTTCTTATAAGAAAAAATAATTTATAAAGCAGCTTATCGATAAGCGAAAAAAAAAAAGGAAATCTAGCAAATGTCTAAATACACTTTTGAATTCAAAAATATTCAAAAGCAACCCCGGTTTCCACGGTTCGCACCACCTCCCCGTCCTCGACCTCGACCACCGGCCGCTCCAGGAAGGAAACGCTCGACTGGTAACAGTTTACCGGGATCAATAAACAATTTCTGACCTTCTTTAAATGAAGATGCTTTTACATCAGTAGCGAGTTTTACTGAAATACCCTGAAATATCTTAGTTTATGAGAAAACTCAAAAACAGATTAAGAAACAAATCTACATGCCGCTTAATTAAGATGACAAGTGGCTGTTTTTCTCACTGAAACCTAATATAATGACTTACATACCGTATCTTTGATTCCACCAAAAATTTCATCGACCTTCCCGATCTGCTCTTTGTTTTCAAAGTACACAGGAGCATTAAAATATGGTATTTTTCCAGCAGTAACTTCACAAACAATATCGTCCTCACAAGTGTGAGAAAAAACTGCCAGTTCTGAAAATTCCTTGTCCATACACGAAAGAACGTTGAGAAATCCTTGTCAAAAAAGTAATAATCCTCTCACAAAATTCTACTTCACTACATCTGCACCACTGAACATCAACCTTATAGAGGCCTTGTAAATTAAAGAAAAAAAAAGAAGGGAAAGGCAAATACCTGTAACCTCTGATGGGGGTCCTTGATCGAATCCTCCTCTATAACCTCCACGACCTCCAGAACCTCTACCACCAAATTTTCGACCTCCTCCGCCCCTACCAAAGCCCATGGTAAGCCTAAAGTTGAAAATTAATTCGAGTCTAATAAACACACGAAGTCGCGCTGTAGTCTGGACGCATTCAACGAAAATAGGTGGCGAGAAATAAAATGATGCAAACTCTTGACCCTGCTCAATCCTCAAAAAACAGTAAGAATACTGCCAGGAAGACTACACTAGCTAAGCGCTGTATCTCAAATTAAAAACAACTGCAAAACTCTAGCAATCAATGTCGCACCTACCCCGAAGGAACGACTTTCCTCCCTACGCAGTTCCCACTAACGACCGCCAAATTCACAACCTCAAAAACCTCATTAGCATACTTTTTTGACGTTGGTAAATACGTCATGACGGTATATATCACGTAACTCCAAAACAGTTGGCTCTGAATGAAACTTCAGAACTGTCTAAATATTTAATTTCATAAGAAATGCTTATGAGTTCAAATTCCTAAGCAGGTAACGCAACTGCCAAAAAAGTCAGACGATTACTGGCAACGTCCGATCCTTGATTGATATTTTAAGGTCATTCTTGCAAAACAAATACCAAAAGCATACCACATTTAACTAACAGCACAACTCAATGTTGGATCTTCCCTTTTCACCTTCTCAGTAGTCTATTAAACGGTGCGCCGCTGTCGCCATCCTACACTTAAAGCCACAGTTCAACAGTCGCTACTAACATAAACTACTCTTATTAAATTTACGAAAAGAACGCGGTGTAAGTCTTCTGCATAATGTGGCATTAATGAAAAGTATTACGAGCAGGGGCGCAATGTACCTATACTGCTGGTCACGCCAACTAGCTCGGGGCTAAAATCTCTGCAACCCTAGCCGAGCTAGGCCAAATCTTAGACAATGTTATGACATTTCCTATGCAATACAAAAACAATTCTTTCAAAAGCAGACTCAAGGTCGAGCTGAAGAACAAAAACTCATCAATCTAATTTGTTCAGGTGTCTGCTGAAATTTTCCCTTGACATCTCTGTGGTTTCGCAATATTTGTATTGTATATACTGTAATCTACACAGCTTGTTGGCAACGAGCCAATCAGGTTGGCTGCTTGAAGATTTCGTAATTTGATGGACAGGTCAACGGGCTGCATGTAATCTTAAAAGTCGCTCTCGGTGGTACTTCTGCTTTTCTGTAGTCGTTTACTGGCTCTGAAGAAATTTTGACTACTCTTTCGGATTTGAGCTCGTTAAACAATAATCTTCCTTACATTTTTGTTTTCTTTAAGGAGTAAAAAAAAACCCAAGAAAGCTTCAAAAATTGACAGTATTGTGTATGTGGTGTAACAAAACCAGGTCAAGAAATTATGCTGTGGACATCCAACAGAATTCATACCAGTTTTTGCACCAGCTGCTCGATACTGCTTCAGTGTTCGGCTGGATGCCGACAACGTTTCCGTTTACAAAGCATTCAAACTTCGATTTAATTGGCATAATCTACGTTGTCGACAGATTAATGACTGGTGAACAGTGTCGTTTGC